GCGAGCCAGAGCAGCGCATGGAAAAGCCGTTTACCTTCCCACCGGAGCGGTACCTACTTATCTACTTGCACTTTGACATGCTTTTGAACTGCCAGCTGGGCAGGAGCAGGGACCGAGCCGCTTCTGGCGAACCAGAGCAGCGCAGGGAAATGCCGTTTACCTTCCCGCCAGAGTGGGTCATGTGGCCTATTTATCAACTTGCACTTTGCACTTTGACGTGCTTTCGAACTGCTGGGTTGGCAGGAGCAAGGACCGAGCAACGGGAGCTCACCCCATTGCGGGGATTCAAACCACGACCTTCTGATCGGCAAGTCCTAGGCTCTGTGGTTTAACCCACAGCGCCACCCGCGTCCCACTTCTGAGCTGTGACTTCCCTCAAACCCCTGTTGTGAATCTATACTGTCTTCCTCTTCCTCCTCCCTGGAAGGGTCAGGATGGGGAAGCATTCTCCACCATTCCTCCTCTGCCCAGTCCCTGACAACACCACGCCTTCTCCTCAGATTCTGATTCTGGGCCAGAGGAGCAAGTACAACAGTTACAGACTTCAGAATATGCCAAGGTAGCTGTGAAAGGTGTGGTGGATAGAACAATTCCTGTCCCTCCCCAGAGGAGGAAGAGACGTGTGGTGGTGGTGGTCAAGCCCATGTTTTACCTGCAGAAGACTCTGGGCTCATTTCCTAGCATCTCCTGTTAAAGGAACTCAATGTCCTCTGCCTGGGGAAAGGAGACCCACTCACCAGGCTGGCAGTGCCTATGATTTCCAAAATCCCCCTGCCCATCTACCTCTTGTGCCAACTGCTCAGCAAGGTGGATCCGCCTACACTATCTGATACAGAAAATGGGAATGTTTTCATTTCTCACGATCCTCCCCGAGGCAGCTGTGATTGTGTGACTTCCCCAAGTCAGGGAGGTGTCAGTGTGACGCTTACTTTCTTCCACGTATTTCTTTTTGATCCTCAGAAAGACCCCCCGGCCCTCATGCCCCAGAGTCAGGCTCAGGAAACCGCAGAAGAAGAGAAGTCTCCATGCTCGGACCATCTTCTCCTCTTATTGCAGAACTTTCTAGCATGAAGTTCACAGGAAGGATGCCAGAAACCTAGAAGTGCCGGTTAGAGATGATAGGGAAATATTCAGGAAGGTTCAGTCCAGCGTCAAATATCTAATTCGTAGAGAGAGGGGACTAGTAGAGGAGTACTTTCCAGGAAAAAGGTGGCAACTGTGTGGATGATTATCAGTGTAGGATGGGGGGGGGGGAGAGAAATAAATTTGATTCCATTTGCATTTAATTCACACGTTCCAAAACAAAACACGAAGTGAAACACTGCTATCCTTTGAAATTCACAATTCTCTGAATTTTTGCAATGCAGTTCTCCAGTCAATTAATGTGCACCAAAATGCACTGGGGCCAAGTCTCCATACAAATGTACATTTTTGGAGATATAACCCATAAACATGCATCTTATCAAGGAAATTTGCTTTGCAACAATGCGTGCATTAGGCAAAACCACATTTTTAAAAGTGTTGACTTTTAAAAATCCCAAAAGGATATGGAAATGTAGAGAACTGACCGTAACACTGAAAAGTGAGAAACTGACATTGCATATTAATCTATCCCCAGTCATGGACTACAAGGTATACCTTCAACCACAGGTTTCGGGTTGCTTCTTGACCCCTAATCCTGGGTGCTCCAGAAATCCATCCCCATGTGCAAGCACCCCCACTCCCCCCCCCAGGACTTTGCCACCACAGGCAAGAGACCAGAGCTGGGCATGCAGCTAAGTTAGTCATTTGCTGCTCACCTCTTGGAGTCAGCTGCAGTTCTGCAAAGATGAAGCCCTTTTGCTTTTGGGAGTCTCCACCGGACCAGGCTGAGAGAGAGGACTGATCCTGCGCTGCTGCTGCTGCTGCCGGCACCAGAAGTCCCTGGACACAAGTGTTCAGGTAACCTCACTCCCCAGGGATGCAGCTGTGTACTTGCAAGCAATCTGCTCTCACACCTGAGCCCCAACCTCAGCTATTGCTCGGTTTTGCCACTGGAAAAAGGGCGAAAAAGCTTCCAACATATATAAAAACATAGTGAAGCATTACACGTTAAAAGACTTCCCTATACAGGACTGCTTTTGGAGGTCTTCTAAAAGTTGTGTAGTTCTTTATCTCCTTGACACCTGAAGGGATGGTGTTCCACCGAGAAGGTCCTCTGCCTGGTTCCCTGTAACCTCACTTCTCGCAGGGAGGGAACTGCCAGAAGGCCCACGGAGCTGGACCTCTGTGTCTGGGCTGAACGATGAGGGTGGTGTTATAAGAATTTTAACGTCTTAGATATGTAATAAATGTTCATAAATGTACCAAGCAAACATGTACATAAATATATAAACCACATGTTTGAAACCCCACAGAAAAAAGTCCTGAACAAATTGGCCTCAAATATTTCTGTGCAAGGTCAAAGTGGGAAACCTCCCCATTGTCTTTTCCTTCACAAATCCTGTCTTAAGGGCACATTTAAGATATGAATAGGGTGTGAGCCTGTGACCTGGCTCAGGAACTAAGTATTTATCATTACAAAAGACTGGCCAGGCTCCCCAGGGTATCCAATCAAGTGAGCATTAACAGGTAACCTGCCAGACAGGAGATAAACAAGGACAGGAGATAAACAAGGCACTCAGATTTCTGCTGTAGACCGCCCTTTCTGTGATGTAGGTATGATGTGTCTGGCAGGTGGTCTTGAGCTACGCCCCTTCTGTGATGTAGGTATGATGTTTCTGGGGGTGGTCTTGGACTCCAGGGCGGGCAATTTAACATTATATAAGGGCGGGCACACCTTGGTTCTGTGTCCTCCTCCTTTCCTGCGTGTGAGGGGATCACCCTGTTGCAACAGATCAATAAAGATCAGGCTTACGAGCTGCTTTGCTTCTCAATATTCTCTGGTTGGCCTCTGTTATTTTTCTCCGACCGATGGAGAACCTGCAAAGGACTCTATAAGGGCTCTTGTGTACCCCTTAAGGGAATAAGGGCAGATTTCTGTTTATTACAGTGGAGACGCCCCTTCAAGTCTACTGGGCCGAGGCCATTTGGGCTTTAAAGGTCAACACCAACACTTTGAATTGTGCTCGGAAACAATGTTCCTAAATTCAACAGAAAGGGGGCACTCTTTGATTTCTTTTGGGAAGGGTTATGTCTATGCAGATAACAGCAAGGTCAGTCATGTTTGTGTTAGGAACTGGAAGCATTTAAGTGGCAGCTACATTGTGATTCTATTCTGAGATTTTATTTATTTTTATTTTTACGGATGGAGCTGGAGAGTGCTTTTGATAAGAAGCTGATTAAGCCCGATTGCTGAAATCAAAGACAGATCAGGGAGACAAAGGGAGAAGTGTTCTTGGCCTCCCTTGCCCAATCTCCCTGCTTTATTATCAAAGCACATCTCTCTGTGTTTCTTAGATTTGCCTGTGCTGTTTTATGTTGAATTATGTGGGGGAGGGGAAAACATAAACAGCGCATATATATATATATATACACACACACACACACACACACACACAAAGTTGCATGTTGTACGCGTGATATTCCACAATGCACTCACAAATTTCCATGGAGAAGGTGGAAGGGCTTATGTTGCTTTTGTGACTGCTAAAGTTTGGTCATGTATGCATATTGCACGGAACACTCACAAAGGAGGCTGCTAAAATGGTCAGATAAGTTCCTTTGTGAAATCAATCGGTCCTGGTGAATGTGAACATCACACTCATATAATATGCAAATGATCAATTATAATTCTTCATAGTGTAAAAGAATCAGGTCCTTGGGGGGTGGGGGTGGAATCGCATCCATTTGTGACGAAGAAGCAAGTTTGCCAGCCCTGATTTCCAAAACCCAGCAAATGATTGTGATTTCCATTTATATCCCCACTTCCTCCCAAATGAGCCTATTTGAAGTTTTGCATTTTAAACTCACTTAAGTCACAGCATAGTCTGCCCTTGGTATGTTCATTTTCCACCTCTCCATTTTGATTCTCTGGCCCCATATCTGCACAAACTTATTATCCCAAAATAAGGGACGTGCTTTTACACTTGCAAGACTGGATGTTTTGCCATCTGCGGTACTTGAGGGTCGATTCCAAAAGATCCTGCCTGTGAAACGTCTTTGCCCCTGTGGAGATGGCAGCACCGAAACAGCGGCACACGTCCTCCTGTCTTGTACTCTCTACAAAGACCTGAGGAACGAGATCATCGCCCCACTCGTACTAACCATCCCAGGGCGCTCAACCACTGCCACAATGTCCTTTCTTCTATCTGATCAAAATGAGCAGATAACAGCAAAGGTTGCTAGGTTCATAGCAGGGGCAATCAGAATAAGGGCCACTAACTGACTGCTGATTCAGGACTTTAAATTGTGCTCTTATATCAAATTTCCCTTTCTGCGTATACTGTAATGTTTTACTGTTGCTATGGCCATTGGCTAATGCAAATTAAGTTTTATCTTATCTTATCACAGCATCGTCCCAATACCCTGAAGAAAATGTGGTTTTCTCCTGCTGCCCTGGTGCAAAACACACTTATTTGGAAAGAAGCACTTGTGGAAGGCTGATCTCAACCAACACCATCCCCTCTGTGCGGCAGCGACTCTCCAAGACCTCGGTCAAAGAGGTCTCCCCAAGCCTTTTCGCCCGAGAGCCGTTTAGCTGGAAGTGCTGGAGACCCAACCTGTTGGGACCTTCTACATTCAAAGCATGTCATGTCCTTCCACCCAGCTAAGCCCACTGATGGTTGAAGCAAAGGCACCATATCCAAATCCCCTCTTCTGCACTGCCCCACATGTTTTGTGAGTTCCTGACATGGAAATGAGGTTCTGGAGCTAAGCCATTATTAGAGAAGACCCCACTGCTTCAAAATCTGAGCTCGGGAGTCTTGCCTTTGGCGCAAGAGGGGAGAAGGTTTTTGCCCTAGATGTGTGAAAAGAGCAGACTTTGAGACCTTCTTGGTGTTGTGAAGAGAAATGTTTTATTATCAAGGCAAGATAAGCAAGCAGAACATCTTAGCAATTCACAGAGGGAACCCTGCAGCAAGGCTCTGGGCCAAACACTCCACTGCTTTCAAACAACAGACATTCAAGGCAAGGTTTTCCAAGAGCAGGATTTGACGCCAGCCTTACGGGATTTCCTGTGGTCTCAAGACTCAGGTGCCAACACTTTTAGGTTTGACATTTGTGCCATTCCCAAATGGCAGGAGGCAAATCTAGCTCCAGAAATCGCATTGCAAAGGATCCATTGCTGCTTTCGAGCCCCTGAGGCAGAGAGAGAGAGAATGAGAGCCAAGGGATGTCACAGGCTCCAGAGGTCCAAAGCTCTGCCTGTCAGGGGTGCTTCAGTTGTGACCCGTGCATTGCAGGGGGTGGACTAGATGACCCTCGGGGTCTCTTCCCATTCTACAATCCTACGAAAGCAGAGGCGTAAAGGGGGAAGGGAAGGGAAGCAGCAGCAGCAGCAGCAGCATTATCCATCTTGTTCCAGGATCCTTCCGTCTGATTCAGGTCAGGATCTTGATTCCCACATTCAGGAAGCCAAGGGGGGAGCGAAGAGCAGAAGAGCGTTCTGTGAGAAGGAAAACAAGTCGCTTTAATGCTGGCCATAATTTCAAGTACAGTCATACCTCGGGTTGAATGTGCTTCAGGCTGAGCGCTTTCAGGTTGCGCTCTGCGGCAACCCGGAAGTCACAGAGCGCGTTACTTCCGGGTTTCGCCACTCGTGCATGCGCAGACACTCAAAATGGCGTCACACGCATGCACGGAAGCGGCAAAACGCGACCCGCGCACGTGCAGATGCGCCACCGCGTCTTACATTCCATTCAGGGTGTGAACGGGGCTCCGGAACGAATCCCATTCGCATCCCAAGGTACCACTGTAACCAAACAATTTAACCCCTGTGTTGCAAACAATAGCCAGTAATATCCAAGGCAACACGATCACGAAATACGGTGATAAGATATCAATATACGTACACTCTTCATATAATATGAAATATATGAAATCACATAAACAGAAAACTTATGAATCTCTGAAAGTCACAAAATATGCCCTCTTAATGGATTCTCTTGAAAACATAAAACTAAATAATCCTAAGTCTTATAAGTCTCTGAAAGTCTTTGAAGACTATGCAAGTCTCTGAAAGAAGCAATGTATCAGTGGGTATATCCAGAATCACTGTTCACAACGTGTGTTTGCGAACTACTTCGGTGGTGTTGGACACCATAAACAAAGTTCTAAACCTGTTTTCACCAGATAAGAATCTGGTACATTGCATTAAGAATGCATATTTGGTGACTTTCAGAGATTCACAAGTTTTCTGTTTATGTGTTTTCATATATTTCATATTATATAAAGAGTGTCTATTGATATTGTATCATTGCATTTGGTCATCATGTTGCCTTGGATATTACTGGCCGCAATTTCAAGCCTGTTTTCTTCTTGGCCATGGCATGTGGGCTCCCAAGAGCAGCTCACAGCCGTTTTGCTCCACAAGGCGCTGGAGATTTAAATGCGTAGCTGTCAACTTTTCCCTTTTCTTGTAAGGAATCCTATTAGGAATAAGGGAATTTCCCTTTAAAAAAAGAGAAATGTTTAAATGACTAGCAGACTTTGAGAAGCTGGCATCACTCGATTCATCATTTTTTTTTTGAATTAGTAGAACCATTGGATTTTGAATATAGTGTGTGTCAATGGATAATTGTTGCCGCTTTGAATTTTCTTCTGTCATTATCTTCCTTAGTGGGTTGTGCAAACCGCTGTTCTGGATAATGCTTTTTACAGGGCAGGGGTCCTTATGGAACCAAGGGGGTGGAAAAGTTTGGGGACCACTGGACTAGAGCATCCTTACCTGGCCAGGGGCAGCGTTGAGATGGTCGACGCCAAGCTGTTGCACCAGAGGCAACGGGAAGCCTTCTGCCAGCAAATCTGAAAGAGAAAAATCTCATGAGTGCTGGGGACATGAAAGAGAACAGATGCAATCACCCTTTTCACACATTGCATTGGACGCAGGGTGAGCTGTCTGTCTGTCTGTCTGTCTGTTTGTTTGTTTTGGTACCATCAAGCAATGTGCAGATTTCATGAAATAAATAAACCTTTGCTAGCAGGGCCACAGATCTGCCAAATAATGTGACTGAACAGCCAGGGGCACTGTGATAATTATTATTTTTAATCAGAATGATTTGACAGGCAACCTGATCAAAAAGTCAACACCCCAAGGAAAGAGAGAGGAGGAGGAAGATTGGGGGAAGGGGCAAATCAGTCTATTACTCCTCTGTGCCATTTTTATATTAATTATATTATATTAATTATTTAATTATATATTCATATTCATGTGACTATTCTGTCTGTGCATTAATCTGCAAAAAAAATAATAAATTTAAGTCTGCAAAAATAAATTTCTGGCAATGTATATATTTCTGGATGCATTTCAAGCACATTTTGAGCCAGGAATTGCAGTGCAACATTCAGTAAGTGCCGAATCTGGAGACTAAGGGCTTCTCCTCACTTCTGCTAGTCCCTTGCCTAGAAAGCACAGGGCCAAGCACTTTTCTGAGTGGTGTTGCTTTCGCCCGTCCACTTTCCTGGCAAAAGCCACTCTTTAGCACTGAATCGGAACAAACATCAATTCACAGAAAAACTGACTGATGTTTGCTCCAATTTGGCAATAAAGAGCGGGTTTTCCTGGGAGAAAGTGGTGGGACGTTCCTTAAATTCATAGAATCATAGAATCATAGAGTTGGAATAGACCACAAGGACCATCGAGTCCAACCCCCTGCCAAGCAGGAAACACCGTCAGAGCACTCCTGACATATGGTTGTCAAGCCTCTGCTTAAAGACCTCCAAAGAAGGAGACTCCACCACACTCCTTGGCAGCAAATTCCACCGTCAAACAGCTCTTACTGTCAGGAAGTTCTTCCTAATGTTTAGGTGGAATCTTCTTTCTTGTAGTTTGGATCCATTGCTCCGTGTCCGCTTCTCTGGAGCAGCAGAAAACAACCTTTCTCCCTCCTCTATGTGACATCCTTTTATATATTTGAACATGGCTATCATATCACCCCTTAACCTCCTCTTCTCCAGGCTAAACATGCCCAGCTCCCTTAGCCGTTCCTCATAAGGCATCGTTTCCAGACCTTTGACCATTTTGGTTGCCCTCCTCTGGACACGTTCCAGTTTGTCAGTGTCCTTCTTGAACTGTGGTGCCCAGAACTGGACACAGTACTCCAGGTGAGGTCTGACCAGAGCAGAATACAGTGGCACTATTACTTCCCTTGATCTAGATGCTATACTCCTATTGATGCAGCCCAGAATTGCATTGGCTTTTTTAGCTACCGCGTCACACTGTTGGCTCATGTCAAGTTTGTGGTCAACCAAGACTCCTAGATCCTTTTCACATGTACTGCTCTCAAGCCAGGTGTCACCCATCTTGTATTTGTGCCTCTCATTTTTTTTGCCCAAGTGCATTTGAGTTCAGAAGTGATGGATCAGGCAAGTTCATACAATGCAATTCCGAAAGCCCTTCTAGAAAACAGCTGCATTTCCCTGCCCTGTTCTGGAGACTTTTCACCTGACAGCGTTGGACTGATGTGCACAGCTGTCTTTGCGCATATGAATCAAAGTGACTTCATGTTTTCCATGGCTGTGGACATCATGCAGCAGTCCAGTGAATGACCCCCCCTGGGTGGCTGGCCCCCAGCAGCAAGACAGGGAAGCTGGTCGCTGGATCCTGCGCAGTATATGTTGTCTCCCAACCCTCCCGACCTGCCACCACTTACGGTTCTGATGTGGTAAAAGGAAGGCAGACACCAGGTGTGAAATTGCACCCGTCAGGTGCTGCAGCTGAAACACAAATGAAGGAAGGAAAGTGTTAAGTACTGAGTTGAATAGGACCCAAATTGCAGCAGTCTGATTGGTCCTAGAACAATAGGATCCAAAACGCAGCAGTCTGATTGGTCCACAGGAGCCACCCAATCCAGCTCCAGGTGGAAGTGAATCCACAACCTGATTGGCCTACAGGAGAATCCCGGAATTAGCCAATCACGGGGGGCCCATTGTGTAAATAATGTATATAAAGCAGACATTCTGGGGGAACTTCCATTCCTCCTCACTGCTATGAGCTGAATAAAGAGCATGAAATCCACTCTCGACTCCAAGTATATTTCAGAAAGCAAAACAGGGGAGGTCAGATGATGACAACAACAGGGGGGAAAAGGTCCCTCAGTTAATTGGGAAGCAAGTTTTCATCTCCATCACAACTGTGCTGCTGCATTGCTGATCACGCTTGTGTTTCTAGAGATGTTCAATTTAAATGTCAAAAAGCATTTCCAAACATTTGCATGGATGGATAGAACGGTTTTAATGTATGTTTATTATTATTCACTGCTGGGAAGCAGTTCTTAAGTTGTGCAAAACAAACAAACCACATTATTTTAAACACAGCCCCTCCAACCTCCAAAGGGCACGCACACACACCCTCTGCAAAGGGGTGTCCCGTAAGTTAAAATTTCTGCAAAAAAAGTATTATCAGTGAGGCCAGCTTCATGCACACAAGGGAGAGACTGGACCACAGCAAGAACCAGTTCAGGAGGTGCCCAAAGCTGAGAGTGAAAAACTGCTCCAGTTCAGGAGCAAGGAGGGCTCTGCATGTACAGTAAAAATAAAAAGGACTGTGGTTGGATGAGAGATGGTTGGGGAAAAGATGGAACAACCTAGATGACACTCCCGCCAATATAATGTGTCACAATGGAAAGCTCTTGCAGACTGTTTCGACTCTGTCCTGGGACTCAGCTATACAGCTGCAAATAAAATGTTTAAAGTGTGTTGTAATGTGCATTATGGAACCTGGGTGGCACTGTGGGTTAAACCACAGAGCCTGGGACTTGCTGATCAGAAGGTCGGCAGTTCGAATCCCCATGACGTGGTGAGCTCCTATTGCTCGGTCCCTGCTCTTGCCTACCTATCTGTTCGAAAGCACATCAAAGTGCAAGAAGATAAATAGGTACCGCTCCGGCGGGAAGGTAAACGGCGTTTCCGTGCGCTGCTCTGGTTTGCCAGAAGTGGCTTAGTCATGCTGGCCACATGACCCGGAAGCTGTACGCCGGCTCCCTCGGCCAATAAAGGGAGATGAGCGCAGCAACCCCAGAGTCGGCCACGACTGGACCTAATGGTCAGGGGCCCCTTTACCTTTTTAATGTGCATTATACAAATGTGACACTAGATGGCGATAGTGAGCTATGGCAAATTCAATGTATTTTTCAAAACATTTTTACGGCATTTTTGTATGTGTCTATTCCACCCTGTAAGTTGTTACTGAATAAAGTCTGACTAACCAGGAATTTGGTTTGAGCCTCTGCCCTTGAACCCCCAAAGGGAATTTTCTTTTCCCTTGCAAAGAATAGGACAGCTCTCCTCTAGAGCTGAGCAAAAGTGACCCCCCCCAGCAACCCCCGGACTATTTGCAGGAGGCACAATTGGAATGGGAAGCTGGAGGTTTACTAAGCTTGCTGCTGAGGTAAGATTTGAACGGAGGACTTTCCTAGTTTACAGGTTTAGCCACTGCTTTCTTGGGATATATGCTACTTACATCAAAGTTTCCAACTGAAGAGTTGATCAAGGAGAGATTGTCAATCCTGAAAAGAAACAATAAAACAGGAGATTTTAAAAATAATAATAATAATAAAAATAAAACATGTTTTGGCTAAAAGTTTCTCTTTGCTAAGGAACGGCTCTGTTGCATCTGAGCAACAACCTGAAATGTTGTATTTAAACCAACTAGTCCAACTCTACAATTCTATGATCTGATGATATTCCGGTTAGGATACTGATATTCCATTCCACCTTAAAACAGACGTGTGGAATTGTTGTATGTCACATGCCTGTTGGGAGCTTGCTGGGAACTTCCGTTTTGCGTATAGCTTTTGCTTATGCCCTTTTGCTTGGACACGAAGGGGAGAAGACATGTTTTCCCTTTTGTCCTGATGCTGAATGCCTGTAAATACGCTTTACACAGCCTCTCTCTGCCCTTCTGTTGCAAAGAGTTATTTTCTCTACTGGCTTGCTCGAGTTGCAGTTTACAAGCTGATCCAAGGACTGGAGATCGCCTGGCTGCCGGCCGGTGGGCTGGAGACAGCTGTGGGCCTGTCAATTGCCCCCGTTCCCTTGGACGCATCCCAACAATTCCTTCCGGCTGCAGAGGGAGCTGGCCTCCAGTGAGCGGCTCCTGCAGGAGTCAGAATGGATTTCCACCCCCCAAGTCCCATTCCCCTTCTAGCCTCTCATGTTGCTTTGGAGCAGTGGTTCCCAATTAGGGGTCCGCAGGGGGTCCGCGGCCCCATCCCTTGCCTCAACCCAACTATTCCCACCCCCCATTTTGTCATGGTAATATCACAGATTGTATGGTCTGTTTTAGCGCTCCGCGGTTTTTCAATACGTTGGCCAAAATCACTTTTGAAATCACACAACACAATACAGTCATACCTCGTGTTGTGTTTGCTTCAGGTTGAGTGTTTTCAGGTTGCGTCCCACAGAGACCCTGAAGTACCGGAATGGGTTACTTCCGGGTTTCGCCGCTCGTGCATGCGCTCAAAATGATGTCACGCACATGCGCAGAAGCGGTGAATCGTGACCCTCTCTTGTGCAGACGCGCAGGCGCGGGTTGCGTTCTGCTCATGTTGCAAACGGGGCTCCGGAACGGATCCCGTTCGCAACCAGAGGTACCACTGTAACGATTTTGATATATATATCACAATATATCGCTCTTTGCGTGAGGGAGAGCAGGGCGGCTGATTTCAAGGCACCCCCAATATCGCACAGTAATGTGACTGATCTGAGCTTCCTTCCCCAGCGCAGGCTCTTTTTACGTTCCTGCGTTGCAAAATAAATGGGGGGGGGGTTCTTTACCCTTCAAGGTGAAGAGTGAGTCTCAGGCTCCCTCCGGCCACAGAAACGGCACCAAGCGAAGTCACCGTCTGTGATTGAAAAGAAGATTTGCTGTTAACTTGAAACGCTGCTGCATTCTGAACTGAACCTTGGGGGAAAGGGGAATTCCTGGGATGCTCCTGCTTCGGGGCTTCATGGGAGCATCTCTGTGGCCTCTGGGAGAAACAGTATGCGGAGCTACACAGTCCCTTTGGTCTGATCCAGGTGGGCTTTTCGCAAAACCACTTCCGCCCTATGGAGGAGGTGGGGTTGCAGGCGTTTCCCCCCCTCCCCTATTATGTTTTTACTGTGATTTTATTGGTGTTAGCTGCCCTGAGCCCAGCCCTGGCCAGGGAGGGCAGGGTATAAATAAATTATTATTATTATTATTATTATTATTATTATTATTATTATTATTATTATATTTTGGTGTCCCAGCTACTTACAGCACGAACAGTGAAGAGATGCCGGCCGCTGTACACCTTGACGTCGATATTCTGCTTCACCTCGATCCTTCCCACGGTCAGGGCGAGGACAGGAGCCCCGTAGGAGACCTGCAAGGCCCGTATTCCACCCTGCAAGGATCCAGAATATGAAGAGGAGACCCCTGAGCACAGTTAGGCTTTGAAGAGACTCCCACTTAGCACTTCGCTCCATAAATATTATGACTATGCATCAAGCCCTGCAGAGTATTTCATTGATTGATTGATTGATTGATTTCATAACATTTTTATACCACTTGGTTGCAAAGAATATCCTCAAAGCAGTTTGCAGGGGAAAACAAAGCAGTAAAAGGACCTGCAAAAGCAGCTATTTAAAACATGCAAATAATAATTAAGATCAGCAAATAAACTACATACAGATTAAAATTCTTGCCGCTTTGCCTCTGGAAAGGCATTGCCAAAACAAACAAAAAAAGCACCTGATTGGTGTCAATTGGCGGGGAGTTCCAAAGGTCCTGCCACAGTAGAAGTAATAATATGCATATACATGCATACATACATCATTTATTGGCAGAGGGAGGCTAGAAATGATGGATCTTAAAAAAATACTGACCTTAAAACCAGACAGAGCTGCCATCTGTTGACTGAATGCAGTAATCTTTGAAGAAACGGAAAGAAGAAGAAAGAGTTTATATTCTCGGTTTTTCTCCTTCAAAGCAAAGATTAACCCAGACGAGGGAACTCGTTTTTATTTTGGGGGATGGGACGAATATTTTAAGATAACACATAACAAGAATTTATGTGGCACCCATAATAGGGCCTATTCTCCCCGGATTGAAGTGATCAAATGGGAGCATATGGGGCAAAGCGATCTCCTAGGTAAACTGGTCCCAAGTTGTTGTAAGGGCTCTATACATATCACCTTGAACTTGGCCCCATAGCAATAGTTTTAATGTATGTTATATATTTATTGTTGTAAGTCCCTTTGGGTTGCATTGACAAAAACAAGGGCAACTAATAAGCTAAATTTGTAGTTTGAAGGCATTCTCTCTTAAAATACACAATTTTCAGCATGTATAGGCTTGAGATAAGTGGGAGCTGCATTCTGGGGCTTCATCCATGCTTCCATTTCCCCCACTGCTTTCCCCTGGGAAAACCTAATTTTTAGCGCTGAATTGGAGCAAACATCAATTAGGTTTTCTCCAGATTGTCGTTTGCTCCAATTTAGTGCTAAAGTTTGGGTTGTTTAGGGGAAAGAAGTGGGGGAAAGCAAAACCACTCGGATCCATGCCTAGAAAGCTCCTCGCCATGGGGCAAGCAGAAGTAGGTGAGTCACACCTTTGTCTGGGAAATACTGATCAATTTTGACTTGCCATGCGACACACAAAGATTGGATTACGTTGAGATTCAGTAGTGGATTTGGCAAAGTTGCACCCAAATCTCTGCCTTGAAAGGACTTAAGATTCGAGGTGTCTTCAAGCTATCCATCAACACCTGTTTCCCAATACAGTTGTCTCTTGGATCCCGAACGCCCTGAAACTCGGACGTTTTGGCAAACCTGGAAGTGATTGTTCTGGTTTGCGAATGCTCTTTTGGAACCCAAACGACTGACGGGGCTTCCATGGCTTCCAATTGGCTGCAGGGGCTTCCTGCAGCCAATCAGAAGCCACGATTTGGTTTTCAAACCTTTTTTTCTTAATATTTTATTTTTTACCAACCACCAAAACACAAATAGTGTCAGGCGGCTGATACATTGAGTATACATATTCAATAATATACATATTTAATAATATACATATTCAATAATATTCAATAATAAAATATTCAAATCAACCGTATGTACACTTCTATATATCTTAACACTTCTCCCTCCACAAGGTTTATTGAACATTTTAATTGCCCCAAATTGTTCAAACCTACCCAAATAATTCAATATCTTCTCAAACCAACCCTTCTCTTTCTCACTGACCTTAAACCCTTTCATTCTATGTTTCTTCATAGTTAGGTATTCTAAATTATAATATTATTCAGTTTTTTCCTCCATTGGTTCACCCCTAGCTCTTCTGCATTTTACATAACTCTTCAGTTATGTACTGAGTTGAATAGGATCCAAAATGCAGCAGTCTGACTGGTCCTAGAACAATAGGATTCAGAATGCAGCAGTCTGATTGGTCCTAGAACAATAGGATTCAGAATGCAGCAGTCTGATTGGTCCTAGAACAATAGAGTCCAGAATGCAGCAGTCTGATTGGTCCTAGAACAATAGGGTCCAGAATGCAGCAGTCTGATTGGTCCACAGGAGCCTCCCAATCCAGCTCCAGGTGGAAGTGAATCCGCAACCTGATTGGCCTACAGGTGAATCCCGGAATTAGCCAATCACGTGGGGCCCATTGTGTAAATAATGTATATAATGCAGACATTCTGGGGGAACTTCCATTCCTCCTCACCACTATGACCTGAATAAAGAGCAGGAAATCCACTTTTGACTCCGAGTATATTTCACAATTGCTTGCTATAACCTGTGTGGCTGAAAAAGCCAAGCAAACATTTTGGAAGTCGAACGGACTTCCGGAACGGATTCCATTGACTTCCAAGGTACGACTGCAATGGATTTAAAATGTAGAAATGCTAAAATGAACTCATACCTCCTGTGGACTGTGGATGTTTATAGCCCTTGGAGTCAAGAAAGCTCTGAGCATCGCGCTCAGCAGGTGGTCGCTGAGGAGCATGTTCATGGGAGCGTCGCCCAGGGGCGCATGGGGAAGGGGGGCGGTGCCAGAGGGGACGATGTAGTTCTGCCCTCCAGGCAGGCGGACAGTGCCCTAGAAAGGAAATACAAGACAGAAGAGCAAACAGGATCTATCTGAGCCCAGTCCAAGCAGGCCTAACCCCGACACATGAATTGCAAGTCCATTCTCCAAATTTGGGCATTCTATACATGGTTATAAATTGCCAGCAGGTGTAGAGGGGACCCCAACTTTTGAGGCAATGCAAGCTTTCCAGGAATGCTTCTGAATAGCATTCAGAAGGTTAGGGAGAGTGTTACTCTTACGCACAGATCCTGCTTGCGGTTTTCCCTTTGAGGCATCCGGTTGGCCCCTGTGAGAACAGGATCCTGGGCTAGATGGGCCCCCATTGGCCTGATCCAGCAACCAGCCCTTCTTAGGTTCTTAGTGCAACAGCCAGACTCTCCCCACTTGCGATTCCCACAATGGGCATTGAGAGGCACACTGTCTCCAACAGAGAAGGCAGGGCAGAGAGGTTTATTTTATGCATTCATTTCATTAAAAAATTACGCACTGTTTGACTGCAGAAAAAGTAAAACAATAAGAAAACGAACAACAATAATTTAAGGTTTTTGGAAAGTTAAAACAACAGTAGACTTAAGTTTCCTTTCTGGGCAGGCTTGTCTAAACAAGAATGTTTTTAGGTAAAGGTAAAGGGACCCCTGACCATTAGGTCCAGTCGTGGCCGACTCTGGGGTTGCGGAGCTCATCTCGCTTTACTGGCCGAGGGAACCGGCTTACAGCTTCTGGGTCATGTGGCCAGCATGACTAAGCCGCTTCTGGCGAACCAGAGCAGCGCACGGAAATGCCATTTACCTTCCCGCTGGAGTGGTACCTATTTATCTACTTGCACTTTGACGTGCTTTCGAACTGCCAGCTGGGCAGGAGCAGGGACCAAGCAACAGGAGCTCAGCCCGTTGCGGGGATTCGAACCGCCGACCTTCTGATCAGCAAGCCCTAGGCTCTGTGGTTTAACCCACAGCGCCACCCGCGTCCCCAAGAATGTTTTTAGCAGGCACCCAAAAATGTACAGTGAAAGTGCCTGTCTGGCATCAATAGGAAGGGAGTTCCAAAGTGTAGGTGCGGCTACGCTGAAAGATTGAGTTCTTACCCACGTGGAAAGGGTCTTACACAGCACCTCTAACAGCGCCAGTTATGCCAATCAAAGTGGTTGAGTGACAGCTACAACTAGTTAGATTGAGGCCAGCATAACCCACATCCTGCGTTGAACATGGGCCAAGGAGATCAGGGCTCAAATCCCCACAGGGCATTACATTTTTTTTATGATTCAAAAGATATAGATTAACAAAGCAACATGGAGGAAAAAGCAAAGGTCTGAGGGGGAGAACTGCATTGAGGGCCACCTCCTGGACCCCTCCTGGCGAGACGCTCCTGGCCTCCCCGCCCCCGGCAGTAACCAGCCCTGATTTACTTCATAGCCAATTTGCATGACTCCGTTGCGGAGAGAGGTGGATGAGGGTCGCAGCTGGATCATGTCTCCGTGCACATAGGAGGACGAGGAGCCTGGGGGAGAAGGGCAGAGGGAGAAATCGTCAACACAGGGGAGGGCTGGTGGAAGCGAACCAATTTCGCAGTGTGTGGATGGAGTCCAGAGTTTCTTGTTGCTGCCTGCTCTGTTGTTCAACAACAACAACAACAATTTATTATTTAAATTGTTTCCCCAGCCACTTTGGGTGACTCCCAATCAAGTGTAAAACACAATACAGCATTAAATACAGTGGTACCTCGGGTTACAGATGCTTCAGGTTACAGACTCTGTTAACCCAGAAATATTACCTCGGGTTAAGAACTTTGCTTCAGGATGAGAACAGAAATCGCACCGCGGCAGCAGGAGGCCCCATTAGCTAAAGTGGTGCTTCAGGTTAAGAACAGTTTCAGGTTAAGAACGGACCTCCAGAACGAATTAAGTACTTAATCCGAGGTACCACTGTATTAAAAACTTCCCTAAACAGTGCCACCCCCGAGCAAAGGCAGTCCTCTGGGAATGTCCAGGCGACCTTGGAACCGACAGCTCACAGAAGAACCCCGACCAGACCTAAGAGGAGGCGTGTAGTGGTGATAGGGGATTCCCTACTGAGGGGAACAGAAGCAGTGATCTGTGGGCCTGACAAGATGTCTCGGGAAGTGTGCTGTCTCCCCGGGGCTAAGATCCAAGATGTAACTGAACGACTGCAAGGAATCATAAAACCCACTGACAAATACCCCTTCCTCTTGGTTCATGTGGGAACCAATGACACTGCAAGCAATAGCCTCCAGAAGATCAAAAGAGATTACGAGGCTCTGGGCAGGAAATTGAAGCAATTAAATGCACAAATTGTCATCTCATCTGTCCTCCCAGTTGAACGACGTGGCCCAGGGAGAGAGGGAAAAATAGTGGAAGTGAACAACTGGCTTCGCAAATGGTGCAAACAGGAACGGTTTGGATTCTTAGATCACGGAATGCAGTTTCTTGAAGATGGACTTCTGGCAAGCGATGGGCTGCACCTCACAACGGTTGGGAGGAATGTTTTTGCAAAAAATCTCAGAAACCTCATCAGGAGGGCTTTAAACTGACTAATGTGGGGGAGGGAGACAGTGCTCCTGAAGGTAGGAGTCTATCAATTGATGAAGATGATCATCCAAATGTCATAGACCGAATGGAGCAAAGAGCATGCAGACCTAGTGGTGGGAGGAGAAAATCCTTAAATAAGAGACACGGGGGAATGATTAATGGACTTCAATGTCTGTACACTAATGCGCAAAGCATGGGAAATAAACAAGATGAGCTTGAGCTCCTGGTACAGCAAACTAAATATGACATAATAGGAATCACTGAAACCTGGTGGGATAAATCCCACGATTGGAATGTAATAATGGAGGGATACAATCTATTTCAAAGAAACAGACCAGACAAGAAAGGAGGAGGAGTGGCGTTATATGTCAGGGATGTGTATACCTGTGAAGAGATCCAAGATTTAGAACCTCAAAGCCAAAGTGAGAGCATTTGGGTCAAAATTAAGGGAGAGAAGAATAACAGTGACCTCATTGTGGGAGTTTACTATAGATCCCCAAGCCAAACGGAGGACATAGATGATGCCTTCCTGGAACAGATGGCCAAGCATGCAAAAGGAAGGGAGATAGTAGTAATGGGGGACTTCAATTACCCGGATATTTGTTGGATGTCAAACTCAGCCAAGAGCATAAGGTCAAACAGATTCCTCACTGCCCTTGCAGACAACTTCATTGTCCAGAAAGTGGGAGAAGCAACAAGAGGAACAGCCATTTTAGATCTGGTCCTAACCAATGTTGATGACCTGGTTAGTGGGGTAGAAGTGGAAGGATCATTAGGCGCGAGTGATCATGCTCTTCTGAAGTTTACTATACAGCGGAAAGGAGCAGCCAAGCATACTAGGACTCAATTTCTCGACTTTAAGAAAGCCGACTTCATAAAGCTTAGGGAAGTGCTGGGTGAGATCCCATGGACAGTAATACTAAAAGGAAAGGGAGTTCAAGATGGCTGGGAGTTTGTTAAGAGGGAGATAGTAAAAGCACAACTTCAGGCAATACCAATGAGACGGAAACATGGAAGGTGCCTAAAGAAGCCAGGGTGGCTATCTAAAGAACTTTTAACTGAGTTAAGATTAAAAAAGGATGTGTACAAAAAATGGAAAAGGGGGGAAACCACCAAAGAGGAATTCAAACAAATAGCCAGCACGTGTAGACACAAAGTCAGAAAAGCTAAAGCACAAAATGAACTCAGGCTTGCTAGAGAGGTTAAAAGCAACAAAAAAGGCTTTTATGGGTATGTTCGTAGCAAAAGGAAGAACAAAGAAACCGTGGGGTCACTCAGAGGAGAAGATGGTGAAATGCAAACAGGGGACACAGAAAGGGCTGAACTCCTCAATGCCTTCTTTGCCTCAGTCTTCTCCGATAAAGAAAACAATGCCCGACCTGAAGAATTTGGAGCAAATGATTCAGCAGAGGAAACACAGCCCAGAATAACTAAGGAGATAGTACAAGAATACTTGGCTAGTCTAGATGTATTCAAGTCTCCAGGGCCAGATGAACTGCATCCAAGAGTATTAAAAGAACTGGCAGATGTGATTTCAGAACCACTGGCAGTCATCTTTGAGAATTCCTGGAGAACAGGCGAAGTCCCGGCAGACTGGAGGAGGGCAAATGTTGTCCCTATTTTCAAAAAGGGGAAAAGAGAGGACCCAAATAATTACCGCCCAGTCAGTCTGACATCAATACCAGGGAAGATTCTGGAGCAGATCATTAAGCAAACAGTCTGTGAGCACCTAGAAAGGAATGCTGTGATCACCAATAGTCAGCATGGATTTCTGAAAAATAAGTCATGTCAGACTAACCTGATCTCGTTTTTTGACAGAATTACAAGCCTGGTAGATGAAGGGAACGCAGTGGATGTAGTCTACCTTGATTTCAGCAAGGCATTTGACAAGGTGCCCCATGATATTCTTGTAAAGAAGCTGGTAAAATGCGGTCTTGACTATGCTACCACTCAGTGGATTTGTAACTGGCTGACTGACCGAACCCAAAGGGTGCTCATCAATGGTTCCTCTTCATCCTGGAGAAGAGTGACTAGTGGGGTGCCACAGGGTTCTGTCTTGGGCCCGGTCTTATTCAACATCTTTATCAACGACTTGGATGATGGACTCAAGGGCATCCTGATCAAATTTGCAGATGACACCAAACTGGGAGGGGTGGCTAACACCCCAGAGGACAGGATCACACTTCAAAACGACCTTGACAGATTAGAGAACTGGGCCAAAACAAACAAGATGAATTTTAACAGGGAGAAATGTAAAGTATTGCACTTGGGCAAAAAAAATGAGAGGCACAAATACAAGATGGGTGACACCTGGCTTGAGAGCAGTACATGTGAAAAGGATCTAGGAGTCTTGGTTGACCACAAACTTGACATGAGCCAACAGTGTGACGCGGCAGCTAAAAAAGCCAATGCAATTCTGGGCCTCATCAATAGGAGTATAGCATCTAGATCAAGGGAAGTAATAGTGCCACTGTATTCTGCTCTGGTCAGACCTCACCTGGAGTACTGTGTCCAGTTCTGGGCACCACAGTTCAAGAAGGACACTGACAAACTGGAACGTGTCCAGAGGAGGGCAACCAAAATGGTCAAAGGCCTGGAAATGATGCCTTATGAGGAACGGCTAAGGGAGCTGGGCATGTTTAGCCTGGAGAAGAGGAGGTTAAGGGGTGATATGATAGCCATGTTCAAATATATAAAAGGATGTCACATAGAGGAGGGAGAAAGGCTGTTTTCTGCTGCTCCAGAGAAGCGGACACGGAGCAATGGATCCAAACTACAAGAAAGAAGATTCCACCTAAACATTAGGAAGAACTTCCTGACAGTAAGAGCTGTTCGACAGTGGAATTTGCTGCCAAGGAGTGTGGTGGAGTCTCCTTCTTTGGAGGTCTTTAAGCAGAGGCTTGACAACCATATGTCAGGAGTGCTCTGATGGTGTTTCCTGCTTGGCAGGGGGTTGGACTCGATGGCCCTTGTGGTCTCTTCCAACTCTATGATTCTATGATTCTATGATTCTATGATTCTATGAGAAGGCCCTCTGCCTGGTTCCCCGTAGCTTTGCTTCTCGCAGCGATAGAACCACCCGAAGGCCCTCAGCGCTGGACCTCAGTGTCCGGGCAGAACGATGGAGGTGGAGATGCTCCTTCAGGGATATTGGACCGAAGCCAAGTTACAGGGAACCAGGCAGAGGGCCTTCTTGGCAGTGGCTCCCGCCCTGTGGAACGCCCTCCCACCAGATGTCAAAGAGAAGAACAACTACCAGACTTTTAGAAGACATCTGAAGGCAGTCCTGTTTAGGGAAGCTTTTAATGTTTAATAGACTATTGTATTTTAATATTTTATTGGAAGCCGCCCAGAGTGGCGGGGGGGGGGGCAGCCAGATGGGCAGGGTATAAATAAATTATTATTAGTTACAGATAGGTAGCCGTGTTGGTCTGCCATAGTCAAAACAAAAAAAATTCCTTCCAGTAGCACCTTAAAGTCCAACTAAGTTAGTTCTTGGTATGAGCTTTCGTGAGCATGCACACTTCTTCAGATACTTCTGTTTCAGTGTATTATTATTATTATTATTATTATTATTATTATTATTATTTGGCTGTGGCCTCTGTCTTCCACAACACTTTTGAGCAGAAGTGCTTGGGGATAAGGAAAGACCCTGGGGAAGATTCTCACCTTGCAGCAAATTCAGCACATCTTCTAGAAGCATGTTGACAAGTGGGCAGAGCTGCCAAAAAAAGAAAGGGGGGGGGGAGAAAACCACTCAGGTGATTGACAAGGGAGAACAGCCATTCTCAGGGGCTCACAATGGAGCGTGTCTGCATGCGTGTTGCTCTCATGTGCAGTTCAGGAGCATCTCAGCAAGCCAGACCCCAGGAGGACCACTGGCCTTTGTGCCCCGCAAGCGGACCAGAAGGAAGCCGCGCACGACTCACCTCTTTCTGCAGCAGATGGGGAACCGTCTTTTCCAGAATGTCGGTCACTGCTCGCAGGAGGTTATTGACGGTCTGGAGAAGAGGTCCTTTCCTGGAACAAAGGGAGAACGTGTCAGGGCAGGGACATGTGCGCTGCTCTCACCCCTCTGTCACAGCAGGGGCTCAGTCCCCACAGCCCTCTGCAAACATCTGCAGCAGGGAGTCTGTGTGGTCAGGATTCTGCACTGCCCAAGGAGCCTCTGTGTGAGTTCAGCAGGGATCCCCCCCCATGGTCATATTTGCCCTGTGATAGGTGGGGGGGGGGGCAAGGACAGAACAGCCCTGGCTCTATTGTTAGGCAGAGAGGAGTGGCTATCTAAGGCAGGGGTCAGCAAACTTTTTCAGCAGGGGGCCGGTCCACTGTCCCGCAGACCTTGTGGGGGGCCAGACTATATTCTGGAAAAAAGAAGAACGATTCCTATGCCCCACAAATAACCCAGAGATGCATTTTAAATAAAAGGACACATTCTACTCATGTAAAAACACGCTGATTCCTGGACCGCGTGCGGGCCAGATTTAGAAGGCGATTGGGCCAGATCCGGTCACCGGGCCTTAGTTTGCCTACCCATGATCTAAGGCAACTGGTGCAGAAAGGAACAGAGGGGTCCTTGATTCCTGCATTGCAGGGGGCCGAACGAGAGGACCCTTCCAGCTCAACATTTTTGTGATCTTGAAGGCCACCGGCTTTCCTCACAGTCTCCTTCTTTATCCAAAAGGATTGTCATCTATCCAGTTCTATGACTCCATACTCACTTGTTGAGGAGGGTGATTCGAAGGTGGCCAGGGTTATTGTGGCAATTTCCGACGACCAGTTTCACATGGCCGCTCACTGGGTCTGTCAGGATTCGAACTGCAACCTGGATGTCCAGGTACAGCTTCACGTGAAGGAGCCTGCCTAAATTGAGTGGCCTAAAAACGGGGAAGGAAAGGGGCGTTAAAACATACTTTAGGTAAGACACCACCTCCGATGGCCATCTGTCAGGAATGCTCTTGTTGCAATTACTGCTTTGTGGGGGCTGGTCTAGATGACCCTTGGAGTACCTCCCAACTCTACTAAGATTCCCTAAAATCTAGACATTTGACAAAGCACACAGTTTCCCTTGCAGCACAACTGGGAGACCTTCTCCTGGTACAACTGTGTCCTCCAGGGCATATTTGACTTGCTTCTTTTGGCTTGTGACCCAAAGGATAGCTCAGTGGGGGAACACCTGCTCCGCATGCAGAAGGCTCAATCCAGGCAGGCCTAGGAGACAGCCGCTGTCTGCAACCTGGAGAGCCATTGCTGCTGCCAGTCAGTGTAGACAATACTAAGCTAGGTGGGTCAATGGTACACGGCAGCTCCTTGGGTTCCTCATCATCCTTGGCGATGGGGGCTTTGCAAGGTCTTAGGGGCGGAATTAGTGATATACGGAAGTGAGAAGTGAGAGCTGGACCATAAAGAAGGCTGATGGCTGAAGAATGGATGCTTTTGAATTCTGGTGCTGGAGGAGACTCTTGAGAGTCCCATGGACTGCAAGAAGATCCAACCTCTCCATTCTGAAGGAAATCAGCCCTGAGTGCTCACTGGAAGGACAGATCGTGAAGCTGAGGCTCCAATACTTTGGCCACCTCATGAGAAGAGAAGACTCCCTGGGAAAGACCCTGATGTTGGGGAAGATGGAGGGCACAAGGAGAAGGGGACGACAGAGGACGAGATGGTTGGACAGTGTTCTTGAAGCGACCAGCATGAGTTTGACCAAACTGCGGGAGGCAGTGGAAGACAGGAGTGCCTGGCGTGCTCTGGTCCATGGGGGTCACAAAGAGTCGGACATGACTAAAGGACTAAACAGCAACAACATCCTAGACTCCTTCGCTCTGCCTCTACTGTTTTTCACTTGTGGTGGGGAAAACATTGGATGGGGGGCATACTGTCCCTCTTATCTTTCCACATAGGGGGGTGAGAGAGACAGCGGAAGACAGTGGAAGACAGGAGTGCCTGGTGTGCCTGGTCCATGGGGTCATGAAGAGTCGGACACGACTAAACGACTAAACAACAACAACAAGGGACGGAATCCACAAACCTTTCTGTGTTGGAATGCACTGATCTTACAGCGTTTTTAGAAATCCAGGCTCCCCTATCATCCCGCCTGTGTCCTGTTCCACCCAGCCACCCTTTAAGAACCGTGGGGAAGCACTCACAGATTTATTTCAATCTCCACATCTGCTGGGACGGTCACAATAATGTGCTTTGCTACCTCATCCAAACGGATGTCGAGTCGGAGAAGCTCTATGTTTCTAATCTTCACCCTGTTCGGAATGGCAAGGGCACAACATTTAGAACACATTTTACGGAGCACAGAAATAAAGCCTAATAAACAGCGTGATAACAGACGGCATAATAATAAAATCATAACACCGGTCCCCCGTGTCCCCAGCTTTAACAGACCATAGATTATTTAATGGCTGAAGCCCTGGGTAAAGAATTATGCTTTGGTGCCTCAAGGACAGTGCCAGACAAGTTTCTCTGGGCAGAGCATCCCACACATGGGGTGCCACCACAGAAAAGGCCTGTTCTCCTGTTGCCCAACGCTGAACCTTGCAGAGAAGGCGCAACATTTTAAGTTGTCTTTTTTCAGTAGCGCACTCCAGATTCCGGCTGTCACATCCCACAGCTCACCCCAAGATGTTGCCCAGAAGCCCATCCACCAGGCCTCCGAGGACGGGGAGGTTCCCCAGACCCAACAATCCGCCGGAACCACCTTGCAAGATGCTCTGGAGGGGCAAATTCTGGAGACGGCCGACCAAAGCCTGGCTGTCCAACCGGTGGGAAATCACTGAAAGCCAAGGTGAAAAGGGCAGGTTAGAGATTGATGGGGTCAGAGGGACTATTCTGTTCGTGGGCTTGAGAACCTAGAGCGGCAGTTGCCAAACTTTTTAGAGAGGGGAACGCCACCCTCTTGTGTAGACCAAGCAGTTTAAAAAGGAGAAGGAAGGGACAATTTAACCATCGTTGCTTATATGAAAATTATGTCTACAGCCAACAGTCAGGTATACAACGCAAAAGAAGGAAGTTCTTTTCCTAATAAAGGTAAAGGGAGTCCTGACCATTAGGTCCAGTCGTGGCCGACTCTGGGGTTGCGGCACTCATCTCGCTTTATTGGCCGAGGGAGCTGGCGTACAGCTTCCGGGTCATGTGGCCAGCAGGACTAAGCCACTTCTGGCGAACCAGAGCAGCGCATGGAAACGCCGTTTACCTTCCCGCCGGAGCGGTACCTATTGATCTACTTTCACTTCGTGCTTTCGAACTGCTAAGTTAGCAGGAGCAGGGACCGAGCAATGAGAGCTCACCCCGTCGCAGGGATTCGAACCGCCAACCTTCTGATCGGCAAGTCCTAGGCTCTGTGGTTTAACCCACAGCGCCACCCGCGTCCCTCCTTTTCCTAATAAATGCAGCCAATTCCTGAATATGAATGGAGGCAGTGGCTCAGGCACTTCTTAGTTCCTGCTTGGAAGCTGAGGGTTAAGGGGCACAGACTTGTATCGGCTGAGGCTTGTACATGAGGACAGAAAACGGGCGCTGGATTGCAATGTTCAGAGCATCCACGTGCCGTCTGGCTCAATGAAGCAAAGGGAAGCAGCGCCAGGCATGGTCAGGGAAGAGCCCCCTAGAGCCCCTTGTGCAAACCCTTGACTTACGGCGCTGAAGCATTTCTGGTCCAAGATTGACAATGGCCTGAGGGCTGGCGTATCCTTGAGTGTTCTGGGCCAGGAGGCCGCAGAAGATGGCGAAGGCCAAAACCGGAAACATCTTCTGTCCTTGGACCTGTTGAAAAGGATGGCGTCGGTGTGTTAAGAAACAGAAGAGAGAGGAAGGAGGAGGAGGAGAGGCAGGCTTCTTTTCTGCTGTTCCAGAGCGGGTCAGACTAGATTTCCCCTGGGGGTACCGTATCTTTGTATTATGCAAGTCTGGAATGCCCCCCCTCCAATGCCATACCAAATTATCACAATTAAGCAAGTGGAATTCTTCCACTTAGCACGGCTGAGGAATATTTTTTCCAGCCCTGAGTGACAATCTGCCTCTCATGCGGTGAGTGCACGCGGACCTTTCTTACCTAGATTGCGTAGAAAGTCTCGTCTCCGTCACCTTCTCCTCCGTCTGTCTCACGAAAAGCGGATGGCATTTATATACCCCACCAAGGAGGAAAAGCAAGGGCCCATGGAATGGCTTCCACTGTTACCAATCACCAAATATTTGTCTATAGGTAGAATCCTCCCAAATAAACAAATATTGATCATCCCAGCGACCAGGTGTCAAGTTCAAAAGCAAGTCCCGAACCAGGACTATGCTTGGGGATTTCTGGCAAGATGAAGCTTCTGGTTATGGCTTAGCTGAAATCTCATAGAATCATAGATCGTAAAGTTGGAAAAGACCTTCCAGCCCCATTTGCTGCAATGGAGGAATCTCAGCTAAAGTATCCATAACAGATGGCCGTCAAATCTCTGCTTTAAAACATCATGAATAAGAAACTGGGTACCCACTGGCCCAAATTTGTGTACCTTTGGGAATTGGGAGTCCCAGCTGGACTAGTTTGCCCAAAAGGGCTCAAATGAGTTGTGAGTCTGGATGGCGCCTTCATTTTTTCTGCCCCTGAGTTGTGCCTCTTTCGCTTTCTGGTACTCACAGGCTGTGTTGGGTCTGTTGATATTCTGCCAACAGTTTCCTGATGAAGAAAAAGGGTGTTGGGGTGATAATATATCCTCAACTTAAAATGGAACTGAATTCAGTAAGCTGACCTCTGGGTCCATTATGCTTCATGCATTCACCCAGAGGTAAGCAGCCATTCAAATCTCTTTCTACATTTGCCAACGATGTATGTACCTGGAATTTAGAAAAATGTGTCTGTCCATTTGTTGTTGTTTAGTCATTTAGTCGTGTCCGACTCTTCGTGACCCCCTGGACCAGAGCACGCCAGGCCCTCCTGTCTTCCACTGCCTCCCACAGTTTGGTCAGACTCATGTTTGTAGCTTCGAGAACACTGTCCAACCATCTCGTCCTCTGCCGTCCCGTTCTCCTTGTGCCCTCCATCTTTCCCAACATCAGGGTCTTTTCCAGGGAGTCTTCTCTTCTCATGAGGTGGCTAAAGTATTGGAGCCTCAGCTTCAGGATCTATCCTTCCAGTGAGC